ACAAGGTACGTTTTAAAGTAAACAGGACTTTTTAAAAATAACAGTAAAAAATTGTTTCGGCTTTTATTCAAAATAGTCCGATTCATTACAGCGATTTGGACGGTCTAAAACAATGATTCCCAAAGTGGTCTACATCGACCCTTAGGGGTCGACTCCGAACCGTATCAGAGAAAATAAAAAATGCGGACGTATGAGATGTCCACGAGAATGGATCTCATTTAAGAAGGTTGTGATCGAAATTTTGGGTTTCATAAATGGAATAATTCACGTAACACAGATACATGTACATAAAACTTTCTTATAACAGACCTATAAGTTACATATGAAGTAAAAATGTTTAATAAAATTATTATTATGGACTGTTGCGAGAAAGATTTTCTCAATTTTTCCATCTTCATACCTCACGAAAAGGGGTTTTAGCGCAGTTACCAATCTTACCATAAAAAGAAACAGATTAGAAATCACCGATCGAGGAGATTTAATGTTAAACCTAAGTAAACTGAAATCGAAAGAAAATTAATGAAGAAACTTAACCTAGCTTCTTTTACATTAGATCACCCGGTAGGTTCGACTTGGTATCAGTCTGGGACCGTCACAAACGCAAAAAAAATCTACAAGGAATTCAGAGTCTGAATAAAATTCCATTACAGTTAAAAGCTTGCAGGAAAAGTATTCTGATTCCTTAAAGGAGATTGAATTAATTTTTTTCTATATTTTAAAATATTCTAGAAACATCAATTTTTATAAGTACTACGCTAAATCTTCTGTAAAACTTGTATGTGGATAAATTTAAACAAGGCAACAATTCCATAAAAGGCGATAACACAAGCAAAAAAAAACATTGGGATAAAACTGTTACATTCGATGAACAGAACAATTGCGAAATCAAGCTGTTGTCAGCTCACTATGCTGACTTCTATCTACGTTCGAATCGATACCCTAGGGGTTCTCTAATGAGGGCGACACAACACAACGCAGTGATATCTACCCAGGTTCTAAATGTTTTCAGGGAATAGGTATATACTTTCTTCATTAGTCGCATTTACTCTCCGGCAGATAATAGGCCGATACGGAAGGAGAACCTATTATTTTCAATTTACCCGCCATGTTTAATTGCATTCAATTAGAGGAATTGAGAGTAATGGTTTTGGTGGTTCTAATTGTATGTATACTTCGCGGAGAGTGAGTTTTTATCTCATTTAATCACAAGAAAAGCGAGTGGCCTAGAATTCTTATTAAAAATAAATAATGAATCTTTTAACTTGCATCGTGCAATTTTTTATACCAAAAACTATGTAGAAATTTGTAATTTTTAGTAATATAGTAGATACATTTTTTAAATCAATATTTTGTCATAACCTTTTTTTAGTTAATCACTTTTTGGTACACAATTCAATGTAACTAAAGATGATTTGATTTGAAAAGTTGTATAAAACAGAATTTTCTTTTATGTTCAAATCCTGTAAAATAATTATTTTTGTATCTAGAACGTGAATTGGTACTAGAATGGAAGTTAGTTTGCCGAGCTTGGCGAGGCTTTTGAGCATAATATTAAATATCTGAAGGATAAAGGCAATATTAAAAAAGAAGAAGAGTTAGCATTGCGAGAAAGAGCAGTTGATTTTATTGTGAAACTGGTGGAACAGTTACTATTAAGAACTCATGAAAACCTAAAACTATTGGAAAATATATTTTTTTAATTTAATTTGTGTGGAAATAAATGGTTTGAGTTACAATAAACCTAATTTGACTTCACTTTTTGAATATTATAAAAAAACAGCAACTGAGATTTGTGAAATGGAAAATCAGTGGAATAAAATACATCTGTTAACGTGGACAAATATAAAAAACAAAAAAAACTTTTGGTGTGAAGTTAAAAAATACAGAGATGCTGAAAGTAGAGCTTCATTTGAACAATTAGTTAATTTTGCTATTTCATTGCTAGTGACCACATTCAAATTCAGAAGTGGAAAGATTATTTAGTACGATGAATGTGATAAAGACTAAAATTTAAAAGATGGAATATGTGTTGTGCAACTTACAAATTGCCTGATAAATGGTTAAAGTTAAAACGTTGGAAGCGTATAAGTGGGATGTGGAAGGTTTGGATTTTAATATTTATGTTTAGTTTTTATTTTTCTTTGAAAATTTATCTTTTATGTACCTATTGTATTTTACAGTATATAGTTTATTTTTTATAAAATATAAACAAACTAGCAATTTAAAGAAAATTTATTTACAAATTCCATTCATTAATATGCAACACGCAACGCAACTTGAAACCTATTTGCTGTTTCATAGTTTAATTTTGATAATTTTTTCTTAGTATTTTGTAGTATCTCCATAAACAGTTCAAATTAACTCTGGTTGCAATATTTTTCCAATTGTAAATTAAGTAATAGGTTTTAGTATATTTTGGTATTTTTTTTTTGTACCAGTTGGAATTTATTGCTAATCCAAAGTTGGCAACACTGGCAGTGACTATCATAACTATAGCAACCTAATAAACAATGAAAATAAATTAGTTGTTTATAATAAGAATAATGTCATTTATTTCCAACAGGTAAACCCAATTACAGGAAATACATAGCAAATGAAAAATAATAATATTTTTCACTTTGACACCCTGTATCTTTTTTATTATGCGACTTGGGACATAGGTATGTTAGGTTAAATCCACTTATTTTCACACAAGGAATCTCTGGTATCATTTATGCCTCTCCATTTAAATACACCCTGTATATTGTAATTCATATTCTAAGTGTTTAATTCTAAATGAGCTCAGAAAGTGAAGACGAGCATTTACCAGGGAAAGTATTGGAAGCGGCAGAAAGCGCTGTTTCACAATTAATCCCCAAAAAATCGTCGAGACATTACGAGATTGCCTACAACGAATGCAAAGGGTGGTGGTCGAAAGCAGCATTACTGGCATATTTCGCCCATAAAATTAATAAAATTAAACCTTCGACGTTATGGTCAGTATATTCCGTGTTAAAAAGTACACTGAATGCCAAAGAAATGTAAATATCGGAAAATTTCCGAAACTAATACCATTTGAAAAGCAAAACAGTTGGATACCGTCCGAAAAAGTCGAGAATTCTAACGAAAGAGGAAACGAGAAGCACCCGATAATAGATTTCTGCTAGAGAAGGAAATTCAAATTAATATAAATCGATCGATTTAATCAATTTTGGACAATTCAGGTCATTTTAATAACTGGTGTTTTTGGAGCTTTGAGAAGAGATGAGCTACTAAAGATAACGGTCGATGATTTAAGAGACAAAGACTCAATTATTTTATAAGAATTCCCGATTCCAAAACTTATACTCCTATTTTTGTGAAGTATGTCTGGGAAAAATGTGTTAAGCAAGTGGTTGCCGTCATCGAAATAAGGAATGTGCCAAAAGAAATAGCAATTTATCTCAATTTGCCTCATCCGGAAACTTCTTCCGCCACTCTGTTAGCCGACGCAGGGGCCGATATTACCACCATTGAACGACATGGGGGGTGGCTTTCCAGTTCGGTACCAGAGACATATATAGAAACTCTATACAAAATAAAATTTCAATCGCAAATAAATTGTTACCATCTTCATCAGAGTCTAACGGAACTTGCCAATAGCCAATGCCAAGCATTGAATCTGACATAAATTTAACTCACTGCAATATCGGTACTTTCAATTTACAGGTAGTGCAAAATAAATTGTAATCGTCCTGTTTATAATAGTTACTGTTTTGTATTGAAATGTTATATCAGTTAAAATGTATATTGTTTAATTAATAAAATCATAAATAACTTTTGAAAAAACGACAAATTATTATGGCATTTGTTTTATGTTCTAGAATGAAAAAGACTTTGGCGTTCTAGAACATAAAAGTATTTTGCATTTAATTGACAAAAAAGACTCACTTTGTCAACTGAAAATTTAATGAAAATGTCGAGTTTTAATGACAGTTTTCGAAAAATAATTATTAATAAAGTAAATAAGTTTAAAGGTTATGTAACTCCCCAAATTTTGAGCTCGTAGTTTAATAACACCCTATACATTTCATAAGCAATATCCTCGACTACCTTCCATAAATTAAGCCGTCTGCAGAGGCAACGTCCTTAAATGCTTTCAGTTGCTGCAGACGGAAATTCAGACCTGTCAGTCTGTCTGCCGCTTCCTTTCAGATTCATTAATATACTTCTCTCTTTGCAACCCTTTCCGTTTCCGATAAACAAAATCAATACGACACCATTCAACAAGAAGGAGCACAGGCTGTAAAATGCGTGCAGCGAAAAACTCAACAGTTTGGAAAGAAAGATAAGATCTGTCAAGATCCAGCTTTTTTTCTACAGATTGCTTTTAATTTTGCCGTGCTTTTCTCCGTCCATCTTTTTCTCTAGGTGCTCAAATGCACTGCATTACAGTAATATAAGAACTTAGTGCAAGCAAACCTCTGGTGGGTTATGTATGTTTATATTTGCCCCGAAACGTTATCTATTTCGAAATATTCCAACCAATTTTTGTTTGCATAGTTGTCAGCGAGATAGGAAACGAAGATTAATTATTTATGTGTAATATATTAATTTTAAGCAGATAAAGTTACAGAGAAATTTAAAATATAATCTGTTTGTGATTTTAACGAGAAATCAATTATTTAACGCTTATATCTCACTGAACTTTGAAATTGTACAAAAAAAACCATTAATCTAGTTGTATGATATTGTTGTTATTAATAACGCACTTCAGTTCTGTTCTTGCGAGAATTATAATTACACCACCTCCAACTCGAATCTTTTTAGTTTTTTTTCTAGATCTAGCGCGCTTGGGAAACAAAACAGCGGCAGGGTGGCGTAAAAACTATGAAGAGCAATCGCTATCCCCAAACTACACCAAGCAAAACCTTAGGCATGCAAAATATCCGCTGAAGGAGTAACACAAAGGCACTAATTAAAGCAAAAACACAGCCACGCTTTGGATATGGCCGTTGTATAGGAATTGTCCAAATACTTACAAAGAAAAGCACAGATGACTGCGGTCTCTCTAATAAACTGATGGCTGGTATGGCCGCTTAGGACTGGAACAACTGACTACCAAGCGCCACCTAGACTAGAGTGCCTTCCAGGATGATATCGATTTTCCGAGTCCATTCAGTTCAGCATGTAGACTCAATGACTACTAGAGCCAGTGGCGTGGAAAAGATGGACGTGACAGGTGATAGGGTGTTAGTTAGCTTATATTCTATTACTAGATCTCGTTTTTTACCCTATTGCAAAGTTTTAAAAAACGAAACAATAAGGTTTCTTTGTAGTAGCTGTTTTTTACGCGTTAGAAAAAATTCAATTATGTAAATACTTTTATCTGCTCCCACTATAGTAAATATGCTATTAATACATTGTTTTTAAGGGGGTAAGTGGATTTTACCGTAGAAGTGGAAGTTGCTATGTACAACGAAAGCTAAGTGAGGTAACTTACCTTCCTAGGGATAAAAGCGATTCCGTGTAATAAATGCATATTTTATGAACAAATAAATAGAAATATTTGATGAACATTACATTTTATTGATTATTATGAATAAATATTTGTAGTAATTGTACAATTATTACATTTAGTAACATTTATAAAATCTGGATAATTATTCCCCTCGCGTTTACTAATTGAACATTTTTCTCAAAATGATTTGACTGCTTCATTTCAGTCACCGAAGGCTCAATATTTGACTGATCCATTAAAACAGTTTGATGCAACGTACCTACTACTAGAACCTGGAGTTGAAGTGTCATTGTAAAGAATCCTGTTGGCTATTTCATTTTTGTTACTTAAACTGTCAGCAACATAACTTTCTACAATTGTGGCTGATTTCCACCCACCATGTCTCCTGATTGCAAATACATCAACACCTGGATTAGCCAGTAACGTTGCCGATGATCTTCGGAATAAATGGCCTGACTTTAAAGTTCTTGAAGTTCTTCTCCATGAAATATACTAGCAGTGACATTTCAGAAACACCAAGAAAACAAAGACCAACAGCCCTCGAACATTTGTGATCACTTCAGAGAAGGAAAAGTAAAATCTGTAGAATTATTTAACAATATTTAGCTCTGCATCCTAAACTGACGCCCCACGACCGATGTTTCCTAACTTGTAAGAAATGGTACATGCACAGTCCAGCCAGTTAGAATCCATACTTTTGGAAATGTACCCAGCAAAATAGCTAACTATCTGCATTTGCCAGAACCATCACTTTATACGGAACATTATTTTTGGAGCACTTTAGCCATTCTTTTTGTCAACGCAGGCGGCATGCGACAGTAAGGGAATTTTAAAACGTCACAGAGGGTGGAAAAGCGACACGATTGCAGAATCATATGTTGTACTCAACAAAACGAAAATCGCAAAGACGATTTTAGGTGAAAATCGAATTGAAAACAATTATTACCAATCACAATAATCCTCAAATGTTTTTAATTGACATTCCTTTCCTTTACCAACAAATTATTTCTATGCATATAAATATTGCTTTTATCCTCGTGCCAATCGCCGTGTACAATTTTTGCCCCGTGTGAACTATTACTGCACAGAAAATACGCTTTTAATATGTCTACCATATTCTTATTCTGTTAAACCCTCATATTTAACATTGATATGCCATAGTCTACTAAAAATAGTTATTCTAACGAAAAATATAAAAGGCGTTTCATTTATAGAAATTGTTTGTGAATTATAACCCTCTTGATTTCATCTTAGCATGTTTTTAGGTTATGTGTTGACCATCAAAAAGAAAAATATATTATTCAGAAATTAACATTTTAAATTTCCCTTTTAACAGACCCCTTTTTCTGTGCGCCGCTGCACCGACAACGTTTGCACTCGTCCAGAGACATGACTCATGCATTTTTATTTCCTTTTTAGGGAGAAATTGGTATATTAATTAGATAATGCTTTGTGCATGTTTTTGTTTTTCGTCCTTGTACATAGGTTTTGCTTGCAACAATGTGTTTTATAGTTTTACAAAACGTTTCTTCATGTCTTATTTGTTGGAAAAGTTCAAAGGGGGGGTTATGGGGTCAGAAAGGAGAACTAGGTCGGGTACGCTTCATTTCACATGTACAGGGCATGCAAAAAAGTTTTAGAGGACGTCGGGAAACTCAGTGGGGAATGTGGGGCAAGATATTGGGACTATTATGTATATTTACATAATTACAAAAAAAAAATATGAACGTGACTTAAGTTTATAGAGCGTTTTGAAGGAAATTAGCCAAGCTTCGTGGGTAGCTTTCTTCCATGTTTTAAAGACAGCCTTGTTACTTTTTTAGAAATTTCAGTGCAATTTCATATAGCAAGCTTTTTTTATTTAAAAAATAGAGCAAATAAAAGTTCCAGATTTTTTTTGTGTAGACATACAATTTTCAATACAGGGTGTAAATAAATAAGTGCATACAAATTAACAAGGTAATTTCTCTTTGAAAATTAGGGTAATTTTTATTAAAAAAAAATCTCCGCCCTACAAACTAAAAATGACATGTCTAAATATAATGAATCTAATATGTTTTTGTATTGATTCACGAAAAACTCAAATAAATTAGTTCCTAAACTGTTTATTGTTATTTGAATTTTCTTGTTTGCAAATTTCTAGATAATATTTAATTTTGTTACATTTGCGCTTTTACTTTGGACCCTATTGTTCTCCATTTGTCTGTATTAATTTTGTTAGACATTAAATGCTGGTAAACCATAACTACGACCCCGAAGTCCAAAGGGTTCTCATAATATGAATCATGCCTATGCTCAGGGGCAAACCCCGTTAAAATTTAGAATTTCCCACAGCCCTCTAGGGCTTCTCACTCCATTCAAATGAGGGTCCGCTGTACAGATAAATCGATGGAGGTTTCGTCCTGTCGGCTAGTCCTGTGACAAGTCTCGGCGATGAGGAAATAATCCCGGCTCGTCCTTGAAGGTTTGTTCTCTTTTAATCCCGTCTTCTTTGCACTTTCTTAATCTCCGGGATCGAGAACGAGACGAGCACCGAGCTGGCGATTCGCGATTTGCGAATTGCTCTTTCACGGCAACATACAGAGTGGGGTGACATTTGAAACTTCTCTTTAAATAAAGTAACAAAAAAATTTCATGGAAATGTGATGGTGTCGCTATTGACCATTATAACTGGCCCCATGTTGGGCGCCAATTTTGGTAGCATTTTCTTTTCAGAAGTGGGATAATTTCCAATAAAGTGAAATGCATAACATAACAGAATTGTTAAAAATTATCATATAATTCATGTATATTTAAACACAGTAAATGTTATATCATATTAGACTAGAGATTTTCACATACTCTTGTATTATACTATTTGCAGTTTACCTGAACTGAAATAGTATTACCAGATATGTAGTAACAGTGCCAGTAACCTAAAAATATATTGTTAGTATCCTTATCACAATTTTAATTTGATATCTTGTTTTATTTGTGCTCTTTTATTCAGGGTGTTTCTGAGACAAGTGCGTTCCTTTGAAGGGGCAATAAAGACGTGAAAATAATTAATTTTCATTGAACAACCTGTGGCGTATAGTGTCAGAATCACTACGAAAGTGTCAGAATACACAGTCACACACAAAAAAAGTTGTCTGTACTTTTCATACGACATTCGTAGTATTTTTACCTTCTGATCACGAATCCGGTGTCAGAATTGAGCTATCACATCACAGGAATTTCCTAACCTCAAAAAACAGGTCAAAAATAGTAAACATCCACGAAAAAGTGCTAGGAAAGATACAAAAAAAAATTGGTCATTTATATGGTTAAGATCCCGCGAAACGTGAATCTGCGGTCAGAATTGATGGTTCTTTTTAACCTCAAAAAAACAGGTCAATTAATGTCAGATATCACAGATTTTATAAAATAACAGATTCGCGCCAAATTTGGGATACGGGAGTTTTCGGGGTCGCTGATCACGGATCCCAGGTCAATTTTGCAAAATTCGAGATGGCTGATCCAAGATGGCCGACCAAATTTTTAAAAAATAGCAGATTCGCGCCAAATGAGGTTTTCTGGGTCGCTGATTACGTATTCGAGGTCAGATTTGCGAAATTCCTGAGTACCCAATCATGTTTTAACCTTTTTTTTCGGCTGTATCTTGTTCTTTTTCTGTAAAAGATCTATTCACGGGTTTTCTGCCTAATCTCAAGTAATAAATTACATAGGTAATTGATTAAATTTTTAAAAACGAATTTTGCAAATCTGATCTCGGATTCGTGATCAGCGACCCCGAAAACCCCCGTATACCAAATTCAGCGCGAATCTGTTATTTTTGAAAATTCGTGATATCTGACCTTACTTAATTGACAAGTTTTTCTGAGGTTAAAAAAAGAAGAAGAAGAAGTTCGGCGGGGTCTTAACCATATAAATGAGCATTTGAATATAGAAAACATTTTTTTTTAATTTTTCCTAGCACTTTTCCGCGAATTTTTGCTATTTTTGACTTGTTTTTTGAGGTTAGGAAATTCCTGTGGTGTGATAGCTCAATTCTGACACCGGATTCGTGATCAGGAGGTAAAAATAACGGATAACATATGTGGCATGAAAAGTACAGACACCTTTTTTTGTGTGTGGTTGTGATATTAATCAAGGATTATTACGCGAAACTTCGGCCAACCCTGCGTCGCCCTACTTAATCAACTGTTTACAATGCAGTAACTAGGTCAAATTCAGTGTGGTTATTTGCCCGATGAAGGCACGAATGAGAGCAGGGATGTGCGAATGTAATTTAAATATAATTTGTTATTTCTTCTTTATCTTGAAAATATGACATTTTAGTCCACATGGTTGATGAATATTGTTAATTTTCCTCTCCTACCCCTTTGAAGGGCCGCAATTATTTCGGAAACGCCCTGGACAGCAGACGGGTGAAAGTCTCAAGGCCTTAGTGGATGCGATTACAGAAGACATGTCGTTTCCTGTTTCCGGGAAATACCGGCACACATAATTGAAAAAAAAAATAAAAATTATAAAAACTAATTCAACTTAATTTTCGTCATAAACTGTACCGTCTTCAATAATTATTATAAGCGATATATCTTCTGTACTTTATATACTTATCAT